AATTTGTGTCTCCCATACTGCAGGTCATTCACCTGCAGTTGGTGGTGAGCAGCAGGGACCAGCCAATGTACCCCCCTCATTCCCTGGGTGCAGCCTCTTCGGGAACCCCTCGAGGCAGGGACAGCTCTGCTCCCCTTGCCAGCAGGAGGCAATTTTGGAGGCCAGGATCTTTGCCTCTTATCCCAGGGGAATTTGGGTCCCATTTGTTTGAGGGGGGAATGATGGGGATGGGATCTAGACCCCAAAAAGGAAAAACCCTGGACTTTCCCAGGGTTTCCCTATAATCTCTGGAGATTATAGCCTGAGGCTATAATCATATCAACTGGCCTTTCATTATAGCCTAAGCCCAAGTCTGTTGAGTTATCTCCCGGTTGCCCCTGGCCACTTCCTATCTAGACTATCCTATCTAGCCTCTGTTCTCCCTTGGCCAAGTGTCCAGGGTCCTGGCATTCTGTTCACCCCAGTTTACTGGCCACTCCCATCCAGATTCTCCTTAGACCCCTCCTTCTGTCACCCCAGGCTGCTTGGCCCCTCCTAGATCTCTCCCACAGTCTTTCTGTATATAAGGGCCATTTTGTCTCTGTTAAGGTGCTCGGATTCTTAAAGATCTGGCCCACTTGCATACTTAGATTCCTTAAGAGTCTGGCCAATATGACAGATGTTCTAAGAAACCTTGTCTTTAAAGTTCTGAAGCAGGACTGGAACCCCTGTGTTCTGCCCTCTCTCTAGGCTACCAAGCCTCAGGGCTAAGAAGATTTCCATGGGCTAGCCGGGGAAGATCATCACTGCTTTAAACATTGTTTCCACAGGAAAATATGTCCCAAATACCCTGCATGCCAACAGTGAACTTTGGGAACACAGGCCGTCCCTACGATGGGCGCTAGCAAGTTGTGAGGATGATTCCAGGACTCGGGCTGAGCCCCAAGGCCCTTGGAGGGAGTTTGGATTGGGACCAGCAGGGTACAGGGCACCTGCACAGTAAATGCTGGAGCAAAGGAGGGCCATGGGGGTGGGCTGGTGGAGGAGGTCCAGAAGCTTATTCTGGTTCAGGAAACAAAGCCAGGATGTTTTTGAACCCCAAGGGAATTTAGGAATAGGGCCAGCCTGGCCCTGTAGACCTGGGGAGACCTGAAGGTTGAGACAAAGCAGATGAGCTCCCTTGAGCTATTAATAGCTAAATCTCTTTGGCAGAATGCAGCCGGTGAGGAGAGCCAGAGAGAAGGAGCGCTGGGAAGCCGGGACCCGGGGTCCTCCCACCGAAGGGAAATCCCTTGGGCCTGGATGCTGGCTGAGCTAAGGCAAGATAGCTGTGCAGGTGAGTCATTCCCACCCCGATGTTACTGGCACAAAGGTGAAAGTGCCACACCTCTTCCCAGGGCCCTGACTTGTTCTCAATTCTGTGCTAGTCAATTGAGAGAAAGAAAGAGGAGGAGGAAGAGATGAGGCTAGATGGAGCTTGGAAACTGCCCAGGGATCTCCAGAATCCTCAGCTACTGGCTAGGGCAACAGCCCATCTCTCCTCTTTCTGGAGATGCTCTGAGGCTTTGAATCCTGGAACACAATGACCTCTGGGAGAACTGAAACTGCAGGTGACCCAGAGAGCAGTGGGCTGGCTCTCGGTGGGGGTCAGCTCCAAGGCGTGTGTTCCCAACCAGATAAAGACGTATGAAAAATACATAAGCACAGATAAGACGGAACATGTAAATAGCTCTGGTTATGGATGGAGAGGGCTACATATGAAAGGAACAGAGAAGTGAGGGGCTGGGGATTATGGGAGCTATGGGCAGAAGAAGCTGGCAAGAGTGGGACAGAAGTGTATTTGGAGCAAGATTTCAAGGACAGGAGGGTTGTGGTTTAGCGGGTAGGTGCCAGTAGGAAGCAGACGTGCTTGGAAAAAACAAACAGTATTGTACAAGACTTAGGCTGGTCCACATCACACCTATTGCATAAGGTTTAAAGCACACAAAATGTAGGGCTCTGGGTTGTTGAGGTGTTTTTCTGTTTCTAGAAGGACTGGGGTGCTACTGTAAATCGCTAAGGGCTTCTGTCATCCTCAATTAGGTTGTTCATAGAGCAGGACTCTGTCAAAGCAGGGTTCAGATGTTTGTGACTTTTTTTTTTTTGGCTAGGCAGTGGGGTTAAGTGACTTGCCCAGGGTCACACAGCTAGTAAGTGTTATATGTCTGAGGCCAGATTTGAACTCAGGTCCTCCTGAATCCAGGGCCAGTACTGTATCCACTGTGCCCCCTGGATCTAATTCTTACTTACAACATCGCTAATGTGAAAATATGTTTAATAGGAATGTATATGTATCACCTATGTCAGATTGCACGCCACCTTGGGGAGGGAGGTGGAGAGAGAGGGGGAGAAAAATCTAAAACTCAAAAGCTCATGGAAGTGATTGTTGATACATCAAGATAAATTAATTTAAAAAGATATAGATCTAAAGAAAAAATAAAACCTAAACCTGCCACTTCTCTGCCCCTTCGCTCTCTGTCTGTCACCCCAGACCTCTGTCTGCCCTCTGGAGCCAAGCAGAGTTGACAAGGACATTTCTCCTCCACAAGACAGCCTTTCACATACTTGATCACACTGATAGGTTATCTCTCTTCTCCAGCCAAACATCCTGTTTTCTGAATGCTGTTTATTTGTGTGCGTGTGTGTATGTATATGTATATGTATATTATGATGTGTGTATATGTATATGTATGATGTATGTGTGTATGTACATGTATGATGAGTGTGTGTATGTATATATATATATATGCTGTGTGTGTAAGGAGAAAAGGACAAAAGAAAGCTCAGGAGAAAGCAAGACACCCCCAAAAAAAGTGATATTTAGGAGAACATTGTCTCTGTTGAAGGTTGGGGGTAGTGTGAGACAGGATAACCTACCATCAGCTCTGTTCAAAGCCTAGGTCTAGGACCTAGACACTTATTAGCTGTGTGACCCTGAGCAAGTCACTTAACCTCTGTCTGCCTCAGTTTCCTTATCTGTAAAATGGGGATAATAATAGCCCTTCCCTCACAGGGTTGTTGAGAGGATCAACTTTAGAGTGCTAGCTATTATGATTATTACTGATCCACTGGACAGACCTGCTTTTCTAACCCCACCCTGGACCATGGGAACAGATGCTTTCAGACCATTTTGGGGAAAGTGGAGCGGAAAGGCTGTTGGGTTTAGGGTGAGAGACTATGTGTTCCAAACCTGGCTCTATTTCCTACACATATGACCTCAGACAAGCCACTTTTCCTTCCGTGCACCTCAGTTTTCTCACCTGTAAAAATCAGGGCGGGAGAGAATGTGCCGGAATCTCCTTCCAGCTCTAAATCATCAGAGCTGCTGGGAGATTCTGGAGAGAAGGCCAGTGTAGCAGATAAAGCCATGGGCTAGGGGTCAGGACACGCTGGACTCTAAGACCAGCTCTCACACTGGCTGCCTGTGTGACCCTGGTTGGGAGGTCTTTTCCTTTCTCCTGGTCTAGCTTCCTCATCTGCCAAATGAGAAAGTGCGACTCCATGATTCCCAAGGCTTATTCTGACTCTTAGGATCATAGAATTTACAGCCAGAAGGAACCTTGGCACTAATCTGATGGGACCCCTAGCTTTACAGGAAAGAAAACTGAGCCTGAGAAAGGCAATGATCAGTACAACCAGTAGGAGCCAAGCTGGCTGGCGTCTGAATTCTGGCCTTCTGATCCCAAATCAGATTTCCCTGCTCTCCCAACCTGCTGCTGTGATGCTAATGACCAGACTCAACGAGCAGGCAACAGAACCAAAGGCCTGCTGCAATGTTAGACTTTGTGTTGGGACAGTTCTAGGCTTTCTCTATACTAGGTGGTATGATCCTGGGGAAATCATCTCACTGCATGGAGCCTCCGTCTCCCCAGCCCGGAGGTGAAATGGGGTCACCGAAACACTGTAAGAAGCAAGTCGACTAATGCATGTCAGGCACTTTGCAAACCTTCCAGAGCAGGTATTATTGAGTGCTTTGCTTTAAAAAACAAACAAATCTATCATTTTGCTAGAAAGAACATTAAACCTAGAGGTTGGAGACTTAATAACTAGCATTTATAGAGCACTTTAAGGTTGGCAAAGCACTTTACAAATTCTATCTCATTTGATCCTCACAACCACCCTGGGAGGAAGGGGCCGTTATTATCCCCATTTTACCGAGGAGGAAACAGGCTGAGAGATTAAGTGATCGCTCAGGGTCCCACAGCTCCAAATCCGGGTCTTCTAACTACTGTATCACTTACCTAGCTTTCTGATCCTGCCACTAACTCACTATGTGACTTTGGGTAAGGTCCTTCACAGCTCTGTGCTTCAGTTTCCGCATTTGTAAAATGAGGGGTTTGGACTACGTGACTGCTACGGGTCAATCAACCGATCAAACATTTATTAAGCGCCTGCTGTGTGCGCCTGGAGAGGCAGTTCGGTGTAGGGATGAAAGAACTGGCCTGGTTCTCCGACGACCTGCGTTCAAGTCCTGCTTTCAGGTGTACTGGGCCTGTGGCTCTGGGGAAGTCACCTAACTTAGTGCCGCTGGCCTGGAAGGCTTACACTCTGATCAGAGACGGGGAATGGGAGAGAGAGGAGGTCAGACACACGGGTCCTGCACACTCTAACCCTGACACGACCATTCCCTGCCCTCCAGAAGCTTAGTTTCGTAGGGGCGAGGGGCTGTGCTCCAGGCCGCCCAGCCTCCGACTGGTTCCTTCTAGGGCAGGTTCTCCTCCCGAGTGGGCTGGGCTGGACCGGGCTCGTGGGGCTCCGGCCGGCCGGCTCCTCCCTCTCCCCTCCCACTGCGTCAGGGAGAGCGGCCCCCCTCGGCCCTCCAGGCCCCGCCCCCAGGGCGCGCCCCAGCCAATGGACTCGCAGCCGGCAGGGAGCCCGCTCGGCTGTGCTGTGCTGCTTGGCCGGGCCCCTTCGTGCCCCCATCGCCGCTGCGCTCCCGCCGCTGCCACTGCCTCCGCCCGGGCTCCGCAGCCTCCGCAGCCTCCGCAGCCTCCGCAGCCTCCGCTCCCGCCACCTTCTGCCGCAGCCGCCGCCGCCCTCGGCGAGACCTCCAGACTGACTCCGGTAAGGGCTCCGGCCAGCCCGACCCCGCCCTGGGGGTGCACTCCCGGGGAGGGGGGCCCGAGGCGGCCTTGGGAGGGGGCTGGTGAGGGACCTGCGCGGGATCCTGAAAGCGGGGGGCACGGTTAGGAGCTAGTAATGTGATGAGGGGATGATTAGGAACTTGTGCTGGGGGGGGCCCTTCGGGTCCTGAAATGAGGGGGGCAAAGTTAGGAGTTAGTAATGGGGAGCCCTTCGGCTCCGAAATGATGAGGGGATGATTAGGAACTTGTGCTGGGGGGGCCCTTCGGGTCCCGAAACGTGGGGAAGCAGCTAGATTCCTGAAGAGGAGGGGGCAACTAGGCTCCTAAAATGAGGCGGGGTGTCTCGAAATGAAAGGGAGGTACTTTGGCTCTTGCTGTGAAGGGCGGTGGGGAAGGATCCTGAATTGAGGAATGGGCAGTTAAGCGTCTGTAATAAGTCTTCGGGGAGGGAGTATCCAGGGTCCTGGATGCCAAAGGAGGAGGGGGATGGGGAGGATCGAGGGCGCTGCAGTGGACTTTGCCTTCGCCCTTCCCCCTCTATTCTCCATCCCCTTCTGTTCCACCTTCTTCCCCCTTTGGAAAGGACGTGGGAGGTAAAAGAATGACCATGTCTTTGGCACCCTGGAAATGGACAGTCTTCTAAAGAATCGGAAACTTTCGTGCCTAGGGGCTTGAGGGGTCGCTCTCTCTCTCTCTCTCTCTCTCTCTCTCTCTCTCTCTCTCTCTCTCACACACACACACACACACACACACACAGAGTCCCATCTTGCAGCCTGAGAAAGGCTGCAGGTGATGGTGGGGATGTCACAATTGTCACTGGTGGATTAGCTGGGGTGGTCTTGGGCAAAGTCAGGCAGCAATACCTCCCTCCTTCTTTCGGAGGATTAGAAGTCCCCAACTTCTGTGTTAGCTGGCTCCTCATTTGGAGCCTCGCTTCTCTGCCCCCTCCCTTTCCACCTGCCATTCTGGAATTGAGAGTGGCTTCTGCGAGGTTTCGTCTGAGGGGCCCAAAGTGCTGTCCACATTCCTCATTCAGGTCTGAGCCTCCCTGAGAAGGAGGCAAAGGGCAGGTAGTTTACCTGGTTTACTGAGAAACAAGTATAATGTGAAGCCCAAGGTCAGCCAGGGGATCTGGGAAGGTATGGGAGGAGCTGGTGGGCTGGGAAAAGGAGAGAGGGAGAGAGAAAGAGGGTGAGAGGGAGAGACAGACAGAGAGACAGAAACAGTTTCCCCTTCTTGGTTCTGATAACATGTTACCCAAACAGAGTTAAAAGAGAAGATGCGCATGGTTATTTTGAGGGACTAGTAGCTTTTCAAATGTTCACCTAGGGCTGGAACAGCAAGATAAGGCAAGGAACAGTTACATCTGGCCCAGCCCACACCCAGAAGCACACCTACTGTGCTGCAAGCACCTGGCTACAATGAATAAAACGCACTCCCCATTCTCTGAATGGCCAGCTCTCCTATTAGACCGTGAACTCCTTGAGGTCCTGCCTTTGCCTTCCGAAGGCTCTTCTGACAGTGCTTTAAACTTAGCACTTAATAAATGTTTTGGATTTCATTGAATTGACAGTATAAGCAGATCCAAATCAATCTGATTTTGTTGAAAATATCTCGAGGGGAAAAAAAAATATCTCCAGGGGTCAACCTTTTGTTCTACATTTTGGCTTGGAGGGTAGTAGGTCAAACTTTGAGAAGTGAATCGTTAGGGCTTCTTCATTCCCTTTTGAATAGAAGCAAAAATAGTAAGCAGGTGATTGAATGTTATACTCCTGAGGCTGTCACTTTTTTCAGTCATTCTCAAGGTTAAAATAGACAAAATACATATAACGTCTGGGATTCCAGGATGGCTTGTGACTTCCCAGCACTCTATGTAGGCATATTAATAAAAGTGAGAGGTTTATTTCCGGGAGGAACTCTATTGTCTGTGTTTTGGTAAGTTACTAAAAAAAAAAAAAGGTAATCTGTTTCACCTTTTGGAGACCTGTCTTTTGTTGCACTATTTTCTTTCAGGGGGGTCTGGTTTCTGGTCATTCCAGATAGACAGGCATGTTTATTTCCTTCTAAGCAGCAGAACGAATTACTGAAAATGTCTGACCTGCACTCACTCTGTGCCCATGCTCAAAAGTGCCTTGGAGCAAGCCTCGGGAACTTTTTTTTTTAATTTAATGTGACTGCCAACGTCACCCTTCAGTGTTAATGATACTCCGAGTGGCAGAAATCGAGGGTGTAAGGCGATCTGGGCTGCTTGCTTCTTGGGGATTGCTCACTCTCCTATTTGCTTCTGAGTGCCCTGTGAGCTGAAGTTGACATTTATCTATTTGAGGTCTGTTGGTTGGTTCTTTGCCTGTGGGCCCTGGTTCAAACCCAAGAGAGCTTTCCGCCTTTTTTGACATCAAAACAATCTCCAGGCTTTACTTGAACAGGGAAAGACTTTTGGAGGTATTTTCTTTGAGTTCATGTAAGGAAGAGAAAAAAAAAAAAAAGCCTGGCATTAGAAAAGCCATGTATGTCTCTGTGGAGGTTGGGAGAGGGCGGAGCCAGGCTGGGATGGGTCTAGCCCACCAGACCAAAGCCCTCTCCTCTGGGACTGAGGGTGGGGTGGGATGGGGGTGGAAATGGCAGTTTACAACCCAGATAGTAACCGAGGCTGGGAGGATAGTCCGGCTGCAGAGGGCACGTCTGGCATTCCGGACTGCAGGACCCAATTTCCCGATTCATCAGAACGCTCCCAAGCAACTGCTGTTATTCCAGCTGGGGGATGGGGGCTCCCTGAGCCTGCCTCTCCCCTGGCTTCAAAGCCCTTGGCCTGCTCTTGAGATGCACTCCAGTCCCCCCCCTGCCGCCCCGCCTCTGGGCCCAGGGCCTCCCTCTGGTTAGCCTGGAGACGGACCTGAAACCGACAGATCCGGCCTTGGCCTTGGCCTTGGACGCCTTGGAGCTGGGCGGGGCTCCAGCCGGGTAACCTTTTACCTACTTTTCTGGGTTCGTCACGTGACGCCCGAGCCCGGGGGAAGGGGAGGAGTGAGGCAGCCAGCCAGTGGGGTGCTGAACTTGCCCTTCAAGTACTAGCGGCGGCCGCTGCTGCTGCACCCACTCCCAGCAGCATCCGGCCAAGCGAGATGCTGTCTCTCGGCCGTTCGGGTCGCTTGATTTTTTTGCTTTTTCCTCCTAAAAGGAAAAACTGATGATTAGTCATCCAGCGAAGTGATTCTTGGCCGCATGAATCTCCCCCATGTTGGAAAACCTGGGTTTAGATTTCTAGCGTCGTGGTGCTTGCAAATCATTGTTCACGTCAGGACCTGTCTTATCGGCGCATGAATGACCTCGGAGGTCAACAACCCTATTATTATTAGCTATTATTATCTCCATTTTACAGATTGAGGAAACTGAGGCAATTGAAGTGACTTTTCCAAGGTCTCATAGCTAGTACTCATCTGAGGTACGATCTGAATTCAGGATTTCTTGAGATCTAGTGTTCCACTTGTGCCACCTAGCTATTAAGAGTGGACTCTGAGGTGGTGCAGTGGACGGAACACCGGCCCTGGAGTCGGGAGGACCTGAGTTCAAATCCTACCTCAGACACTTGACACTTATTAGTTGTGTGACTCTAGGCAAGTCACTTAACCCTGACTGCCTCACCAAAAAAAGCAAAAAAAAAAAAAAAATGGACTCTGGAGTCAGAGAACCCAGTTACAAATCATGTCTCCAAAAGGACTGCCCTTCCCTGGAACTCATTTTCCTCATGACTAAAATGGCCCCTGAGATAGGACTTCCAGCCCTAGATCTAGGAGCTAACATTTTTTTGTTTCTGTTATTTTGATGCCTCTAATAAATTGCAGTAATGGTGAAGAGTAAATATTGATTGGATGCACCTGGGGTACAGGGCAATTCATCCAAGCTGTACCTGAGTCAAGTGTGCCCATGAACCTAGATCCTGGGGAATGTCCAACTTTGCCTTTCATTATTTCATATTTATTAGTTTACAGACACTAAGCATTTGTGTGTTGTTAGGCTCAGAAATATGGGTTGGTGTGTTTTTTTATGATAACCAGTAGGAGAGAGATGCCGCTGTTGGAATCTGAGCCTCCCGGCCCCCCAGATGTCCAGCACACTCCCTCACCTGCCATGCTAGGAGAAGCTAGAAAATATTTTCCTAAGGATTAGCTATTAGCCATCCACGTGGCATTCGCTGCCCCAGAAGGCTTTTGGGATCAAGCAGGTCATCATTTGGAATCATCAGTTATTGAAATCTGCCACTGTGGTCTTTCTGAGACTGAGAGGGAGGCTGGAGAAAACAGTGTTCTGGAGTTCACAGGTCAGTCCAAGACCCCCACAGACTGACCCACCCATGGTCCTGAGCAACCTCAGAGGGTAGGAGCAAGGGCTTTTGGGACAGCACTGGATCTGAGCTGGACATTGAGGGATTTAGATTACATGGAGGGTTTGGGAGGGGGGAAGGAACAGGCATCTATCAAGTGCCCGCTATGTGCCAGGCACTGTGCTAAGTTCTTTACAGATAAGATCTCAGTTAGCCATGTGTTTGTCTTTTAAAAATTCTATTCTGAAACTTAACAAACACCAAATAAAATGAGCTTTCCCACCTCAGGAGCAGGACAGGCGAGGATGGTACAAGAAAGTGCCTGTCTCCAAGTGACGTGATGGAAAGGTCTTGGTGCAAGGTTAACAGTAGAGACACCCAAAATGAACCAGATGTGAGTTGGTAATAAACCTCACAGCCTTGGCACTGGGGATCCTAACCCCAGGAGGGTTCCTTCCTCTCTTACTGAGCTTTAGTGGGGTGAGACCTGTGACTTCAGTCTAGCCTTGCCTTATGCAAAAGAAATGAGAATACGGGGGTTGGGGAAGGGAGGCAAGTAGAATAATGGTGCATCCACGTGTGAGGAAATCTAGGACTGAGGGGAAGCCACAAAAATGTGACCTGGTGCTCTGAAAATAGTGCCGAGAAGGCCAAAGATC